ATTTAGATCTATAATTATTTTCCTATGGTTTTCACACGTTTCTGCATGGATTAATACAAATGTTCAAGTTCTTATTAGCTTGTACTACTGTTCATATTCTAGCCGTAGCAGGGAACGCATAGAGAGAAGGAAGGAGCAAACCTGCCATAGATCCACATTAAAAGCCCTCAAAGGGATGTGCAACGAATTGAAGGAGCTAGATATAGGAGGGATTTGGCTCTGGTTTACCATGTGCAACGAATTTGAAGAAGAGCAGAGCTGGCCGTGCGCGTGTTTCCGGCGAAGGTGACAACGGAGCACTTGGTGGTTTCGTACTACTCTTGCTGTGACTGTGAGGCAGGCTCGTCGATTGCCTCACGTCGAGAAGCAGGAGCGGATGTGGCTCACTTTCTGCCGACGCCGCTGCGCTTGCGGCTGCAAGCGCGGGGTGTTGCTCGCGTGGCCCTCTCGACCCGGCACCAGGTCGTGGGGGAGGAGCGCGCAGAGATCTGGCAGGCGGTGCCGCACGGGAAGAGTCGAGGGGACGCGCGAATCGCGATGGAGAACAAGGGGGGCGCTGCTTCTCCTCCCGGTAGGGGAGAGGCCCGGGAGATGCGGAGGCTGGAGCTCTTTCGGGTCGCGAAGAAATGACTCGGCGACGGTACGCGCCAGGGAGCTCGTGGAAGCGAGCGGCGGCGGCGGCGCAGAGCGGGGAGGGAGGCGTGTGGAGAGGCGCGCGACAGGCGGATGGCCGCGAGGCGTAGGCCCATCCGATCTGGGCGGCGTAGGCCCATCCGATCTGGACTGCAGGTTGATTTCGAAATAATATGAGGTGTTTTTTAAAAATTATACTGAGAGGGCCTCTAAAGTGTGGGTTGATTTACGAAAAATATAAGAGGTTTTTCGAAAAATGACTGCCGCTCGCCCGATCTGGACTGTCCGCGTGCCCAATCGAACGGCCACGAAAAGCCCGTGACGTGGCACGCTGGCTGGCCGCGGTTTGGGCGCCGGATTCATATGTAAAGATGAGATGGAAATATCCCAACACTTGCATATTTTCCATGTTTATTACACCGTACTTCTTCTGTTCTAAATTATAGGTCGCTTTAACTTTTTTGATTTATCCATTTTGCTATGTATCTAAATATATTATTATATTTATATTCATAGTAAAATGGATGTATTAAAAAAGTCAAAGTGACTTATAATTTGGAGCGGAGGGAGTATAGGACAATTGACTTCCTTGATGTGTGACACCCCCCCCTCCCAAAAAAAATCCAAATTGTATTTTGTTCTGTCTAAGTCAAACTTTAACAAAGTTTAGAGAAAAATGCATCAAAATTTGTAACACGAAATTAGTTCTATTGGATATGCTATGAAATATGTTTGGTTATGTTAATATTTTTTATTTATTAGGACACAACTAAAACGAAGTACAGTTTAGAACTTTAGAAATGACAGAGTATTTAACTACGGCGTGTTTTACACGTACTTACTTTCCTGCAGGGAGAATTTCCCAAGACCACATGGAACTCGAGCATAATCGAATCGAGGCACAGCAGATTGATCTCTTTCTCTTCGTTCAGCATGGAATGCCATGGCTACCACATGCATATGGCGTAAGTATCGCTCAAATCAACGTATATTATATATATATGTTGTACGTTATCGTGCTGCGTAAGCGGACCCGATGCTAAGGTTCATGAATCGCGCGCCATCTCGCTCGTTTCTCTTCTCCTAATCGTTTATTACGCCAAGAAATGGTCGCGATTCATGAGAGCCAAGTTGTGGTCGTGAACATGTGCCCATGTTAAGGATCGATGGCCTTACGGTCTGCATGACGCGTATATATATATAGGACTAGAGAAACGCTCATTAAATTAAGCTTCTTGAGACTGCTAATAAAAAATTTGCATACATACATATACTCCACCCGTCCCTAAATAACTGTCGCTTTTGGTTTTCGTGATGTAAGTTTGACTGATTTGTAGAAAAATACGTATAATATTTGTATCTTCAAATAAATTTATTATAAAAATAGATTCGATGATATATCTAATGATATTAATTTTGTACCATAAATATTAATACTTTTATATCTATTTAGTTAAAGTCGTTTCTCGGAAAGTGAAAACGACAGTTATTTAGGAATGGGGGGAGTATGATTCAAGATAAAGGGATAACTGGAGTATCATATTTTTCTTTTTAATCCTACATTAATGGGAGGACACAAGCTAGGATATGTATACACTACTAATATTTTCCTAAAGTGCACAACCGGAGAAATCCTTTCTCATATATGGAAAGGAAGCATACAAACACGCTGCACATATATAGCATCCTAACTAATGATAAGTATCTCGCAAAAAAAAACTAATGATAAGTAAACGATCATATCCATGCTAATGACAGCACATAGCATAGTATAACTAACTTTCCCCCGAAAAAAAAAAGCATAGTATAACTAATACCAGTGGGCAGTGGACTCTGAATTAAACACAAACCCTAAAGCTGGTAAGTGGCAAGCAGGAACTCTACTTAATTTTAACCTGTCAGCAAGAGCAGCTGTTCATGTGGATGGCGCCCCTTGCCTTCCCCTGCTACAATGCGAGGACCAGATCGATCGAAATGGCTCCTCACGTACACAAAGCAGAGGTCACGTACGTGCACTGTGTACAAGACAGTAGCACCCAAGGTGCAGCAAGCCAAGAACGAAATGGTCACTCCTGCATCTCCGACGACGATGCCGGCGGCTCGGAAACCGTTGCCCTTGCTCCTCCTCTCCCTCTCGCTCCCCGCCCTCCTGCTGGTGCTCTCCCTCGTCTTCCTGCTCTCGCACACCACCTTTAGCCTCCTCATCTGCCCTCTCCTCCCGAGGCTGTCTTCGACGCGCAATGCGACGAGCGGCGCCAGTCGTACTGGTACCAGTCTCGGTGTCTCCATGGACGAGACCTTGCAAGCCTTCCATGCCTCGATGCCGACGACACCTTCAAGGCGCAATGCGACGAGCTCCAGTAGTAGTACCAGCATTATTGCTGTCTCAGTGGACAAGACCTTGCAAGAAGCATTCCATGCCTTCGCGGCGGCGCCACCGCCGCCGCTGCCGTCGTGGCCGCCGGCTGCTCCGGCTTCTAAGAGCAGCAGCAGAAAGAAGGCGTCCGCAAAGAGAAACAAGAGCCTCCTCAAGCTCCTGTTCAGGAAGACACCGCAGACGCGGCGGTTCGCGGCGCGGGCGGACGAGCTCTTCGCGGCGCCGTGCACCGACCGCTTCTTCATGACGTGGCTCTCCCCGCTCGCGCAGTTCGGTCGCCGCGAGCTCCTCGTCCTGGAGAGCCTCTTCAGGTGGCACCGCGGCGGCTGCCTCCTCGTCGCCTCCGATATCATGGACTCCGCGGGCGGCAGGAACAAGCTGAGGCCGTTCCTCGAGCGCGGCTTCCGCTTAGCCGTCGCCTCGCCGGACTTTGCCTACCTCCTGAACGGTACGCCCGCCGAGGCGTGGCTCGGCGCTGTCCAGCGCGGCGGCGTCAGCCTCGGGAGCGTCCCGCTCGGGCAGAACCTCTCCAACCTCCTCCGCCTCGCGCTGCTCTACAGGTACGGCGGCATCTACCTCGACGCCGACGTCGTCGTCCTCAGGCCGCTCTCCGACCTCCGCAACGCCATTGGAGCGCAGGTCGTGGACGAGGCCACGGGCGACTGGAGGCGACTGAACAACGCCGTGATGGTGTTCGACAGGGCACACCCGCTGCTGCACGAGTTCATCGCCGAGTTCGCCGCCGCGTTCGACGGGAGCAAGTGGGGCCACAACGGGCCGTACCTTGTGTCCCGGGTGGCGGCGAGGCTACGCCACCGGAGCCCGGATCTCGCCTTCACGGTGCTGCCGCCGCGGGCCTTCTACCCCGTGCACTGGAGCAAGATCGGCGGACTGTTCGTTGCACCCAAGGATAGGAAAGACAAGAGGTGGGTGAAGGCCAAGGTGGAGAACATCAAAGGCGAGAGCTTTGGCATCCATCTTTGGAACAGGGAGAGCAGTAGGCTGGAAATGGAGGAGGGGAGTGTTATTGGGACGTTGATTTCAGACAGTTGCCTGTTCTGCAATTCTTCCATGTTTGTAAAGCAAGGATAGGATAGCAGGAGATTCTGCACATTTGCAGCTGAAGTGAGATATTGGTATTTTGCAAGATGAAGCATGTACATCTTACTTGAAGGAATTGGAATGACATACGTAGTACAGAATTTTTGAACTTCTAAGTATCAGAAACTATCTTACTGATTGACAAGCTACTTACTGATTGACAAGGAGAGTGCCATTTATAATAGGTGTTCTGATTGAACTATCCCAACGGGACCTGTGGGAATATGAATATGATCATCAAGTAGCCACTTCGATAGGGAGTGCAAAGTTATCAGAAAATGGTATGACAACCAGAAGATCTGACAAGACTCAAAAGTACATGTTTTCTTTACATTCATCAAACATTGTTGTTTTTCGTCCTCGAGAGGAAAAAAGAAGAATCTTATCATATCTGTCTTAGTGAAAAAATATGTATATATCTGCGCATGTAAAGAAATATCAGAAACTAATAGAACAGAGCCTGCAAAGCCAATGAAGAACACATGTAATTCTGAAGGCTATCCTAACATGTCATGGTTTTGAATGGGTTGGAGCATCAGATACCATGCAAACAATATTCTGCAAATAACAACTAACACTCATTTTTGTGTTATAAAAATGTACTTTGTAGAAGAACTTTTTTTGCGAGTGTATTCTTTCCGTGGGAGATACAACAGATGTAAGATCATACATGACTGGCCGCCTCCCAGTAAAATCATTGACATTTTAGACTAACATCACAATTAATCTTCTATGTTGCACCTATGCCTATCAAGCTTCTCTGTTCTCAAATCGGTCGTGGCTCAGTGTGGCCAGATCATTTTTGAAACTAAAGTTCAGAATCCAGCTGGTCCGGTTGGTTCGTAATTGAAACATGGAGCTAACAAGAAGTTTATTGTTACTACAAATATCAACCAAGAGGCAGAGACATCTTGTTACTCGGTATTAAATGCTGTGTATCCTCAAGCTCAATTTCACCTCCTCCCCATTCGTCCCCACTTTCAAACATCATTTCGATCTGCTCCAGTGTTTTCCCTTTTGTTTCTGGCACACAAAAGTACACAAACAGTACAGAGATAGTGGATATTGCAGCAAAGACGAAGAACATTCCTGCCACTGATATAGCACGGGCCATAGAAAGGAATGACATGGAAACCAAACCACTGCTCACTCTACCACCTACTTGACCAAGTGCTGACCCTTGAGCTCGTAATCTTAAAGGAAATACCTCTGAAGACAAGACCCAACATATTGGTCCCATGCCAATTGAAAAGAATGCCACACTGCCACAAACTGCAAAAATTGCTAGGTCGATACCAACACGTGGAGACATAAGCCCCACGGCATGCTTTTGCATTGTAAGTGCAACCCCTAAGAGAAATAAGCAGATAGTCATGCCAATGGTGCTCACATAAAGAAGTGGCTTTCGTCCAACTTTATCAATTAGGAAAATTGCAACCAAGATGAACACTGTCTTAGTGAAACCCACAGCAACAGTTGCAGCAAGAAGCTCCTGATCAGATTTGATCCCAGCATCTTTGAAAATTGTTGGGCTGTAATAGACAGTAGCGTCAATTCCTGTGATCTGTTGGAACAATTGAATACCGCAGCCAGCATACAGCATCCGGCGAACGGCGGGAGAAGGGTTCAAAAGTTCCCTCCACACTTCTTTGTCCTCAGATTTCATTGATTTCATAAGACCAGCGGCTTCCTCGATCTCAGCCAGCCGTTCTTCAACTTCAGCTTCAGACTCGCTAATCTGCAGCAGCACTGCCCTTGCTTCTGAAACTCTCTTCTCCATCATCAACCACCTAGGGGATTCTGGGATCACGAAAAGCGCAAAGCCAATGAAGACTGACGGGAGGATACCGACACCAAGCATAATCCTCCAATTGATGTGCTCAGAAAGGCCTGAGAAGGCATAATTGGAAACATAGCCAAGGAGGATCCCAATATTGATGCAGATCTCAGGAAGTGATGTGAGAGTCCCACGGGCGCCTGCGGGGGAGATCTCAGCAATGTACACTCCAGATACCATGGCACCAAAACCAATGCCAACTCCAGCAAGGAGCCTCCCGATCATAAGCACAGTGAATGATGGAGCAAATGTCATGATGGCTGCGCCCATCTGGAACACAATTGCACCGAGGCCCATTGTCCATTTTCTGCCAATTGCATCAGATGTTCGCCCCCCTGATAGGCTTCCCAAGAGTGAGACCACGCTCAGACAGCCTACTAGGATTTCTTGCTGAAACTCGGTTATGTGAAGATCTTTCTGAATGTAGATGATCGCGCCACTCATTACGCCAACATCTGCAGATGAAAACACGAATCTCGGATCACCAAAACTGAAAAACGTTACACAGCAAGAAGAATTGATTTCTGAGCATCGTGATTGTCAGCAGACATGGAAAACTCAGTTAGCCTGGTTTCAGATGCTGTTTTGCACAACCAGAACAAAGAGAAGCCAAGATCCTACAGTACTTGTGAAACATAGAGAAAAGGACAAACTAAGAGGATTTCAAACCCAATTCATGTGAAAGGTTGTTGCTTGCAATCACCAAAAGCCCCCCTATAGTTGCTAGTAGCGTAAGAACGAATCTAGCTGTTGTCTCGTGGAAGGCATGAAAAGCATTTCCACCAGGCCAGGCTGCAAATTGCTATCGCTGTCGGAATCACGCTACGATTCCATGATGGACTAGGTGAAAATAAATTGCCAACAAAAAAAAAGATGCCAATTTCATCCGTAAGCTTGGATCCCCGTGGCGCGCCGCGAACTCACCGTAGCCGAGGAGGATGGCGTTGAGCGAGGCGAAGACCGCGCAGGCGTACACGAACCGCTCCCTTCTCCTCCTCTCGCTCTCGGGTGCCGACGGCCTCCTCCGCCCCTCCGTCCCCGCATCCGGCTCCCGCTCCTCGCTCCGATCAAGAACCGCGTACTTGTTCCTGCCGCCATTGGCCGCTGCGCCGGCGTCCGCCATCGCCTTGCTCCGCGCCCCCGGCAGCTAGCTACCCGGTGGAGCTTCCTCGCCGCGGATTGGTGCTCGTTCCGGAGATCATCAGTGGCCCGCGCCCCCGAGCCCCGAGCCCCGAGCCCCCCAAAATCCAATGGAGCGCGAGGAAGGTGGGAGGATGTCGATGTGGTGTTGGTGTTCTTGCTCCGTTTCGCTCTCCCGTTTTGCCAGTTTCTTTAGGGGTAGGTGCGATTGTTTCCATTTCTTTTTCTTTTATATTTTTTTGAAAGGTCATCGTTTCCATTTCTTATCGAGGAAATCCTCAGGACTACAAATTCTTTTCAACAAAATCCCTCCTTGCACGATGCAGCAGAGTAGCAGGGACCAAACTGGGATTTGGAGACCTTTCGAGGTTAACCTTGGTAGTCGATGATTTTGTCTGGGTCATACTCGTACTCGGTTTTGACGTAGAAAAATGTTGGAAGCACGACTTGACGAGATATGCCGTGTCACCACCTCTCCCGTCCTGTCATTGGCACTGCTGCGTACTCTTTCCGTTTTAAATTATAAACTATTTTAACTTTTTTATATATTTATTTTGCTATACATCTAAATATAAAACTATGTCTAGATCCATAATATAATGAATGAAAAAAAATTAAAACAACTTATAATTTAAAACGGATGGAGTATTTATTATAAAGGGCTAAATGATGGTGCTTGATTGTGTAAAATGAGATGGTTTAGTGGCTTAAGATCTACCGGGCGGCAACACGTACAAGATAGACAGATAGTCTGGTGAAAATTAAAGCCCAGTTGTCATAAATAAACAGGTATAGCAGAAGCACAGTAACTTGGGTTTGTGTATTTGTGATCGTCCCTGATAGAACGTAACTACTATATTAATATCTTTTCAGTTGTCTCCTGAGGATGTCGCTTTCATTCGAAGTCTAAGCAAAGACATGGCGGTTTGGACTAATCAATCCTCGAGTACGAACGGAAAAATATCAGAAAGCTCCCCCCACGTCATGACAGTAGATGTCCCCAACTCCCCCCATTCCATACGATTCCTTTGAGCGCGTTCTTTTCAAAAACTTCGTCTCTTGCCTGAATTTGCCGAACACGGACGACAGTACATCACAGGCTCACAGCAGTATGGTGAAGCTACTATGGCCCCATTCGCTTCGCTGAAAAAACAAGTTAAAATATTGTTCCGGCTAATTTGTTGTGAGAGAAAAACACTATTCCAACTAAAAAAACAAGCTAAAAAATATAGATTATAAGACAAACGAACAGGGCCTGTACCTTCGTTCTTCTTGCTTTCTTTATTCTTTGTTGATTGAAGATGGTTTGGTCATGCCACTAGTCTCAAATACAGTTGTTGTTAACGCTAGCGCAAGGTTATTAGCAGCTGGAGGTTGAGGGCAGGAAATAAAGCAAAAGACAACGAACAGTCTCTTGACATGGAACGGGTCAAACAACCGGCAGCTGGCCTGTTTGGACTTTGGAGCTTGTTGTTTCGAGTTTGGAGTTTGGGACCTCCCTACGCGCCCATGCTAAGCTCCTGCGACGAAAACGGGTGTCCAAACTGGCTCGAGAGTTCACCGATCGTCACACCCGACATCAGAAATGGATGGTTTCATTTCAATGGTTGGTTTGGAGTTAAGAAGCAAGATGATGATCCTATACCATGATCTATTCGTTGAATCCCAGGCTCCCAGCGCGCAAAAAAATTGAATTTCGTCCCTCTCCCTCGGAAAGAAAACGATGGCAATTTGCAGTCCATGCAGGAGGAGCATGTAGAGGGAACATGGACTGACCGTAACCGAGGAGGATGCCGTTGAGGGACGCGAAGAGCGCGCAGCTGAAGGCGTAGCGCTGGCCCCGCCCGCGCCGCTGCCTCTGCGCCTCGGCACGGTGCGCCCACTCCGCCTCGTCCAGCTCCTCCCCCTCCTCAGCCACCTCCATCCTCCTGTACTCCCGCTTCGTCGCCATTGCCGTCCTCGTCTTCACCGACTCCATGATCTCCTTCCGCCGGCTCCGGCTCTCCGGCGCCGTGCTTGTGCCTAGCTAGCTAGCCTCCTTGCTTGCCTACAGCTGCTACTGGTAACTACTACTGCGTTGTGACCTGCATATGCAGATCTGACGCGAGGGCTCCGAATGTGGCTTTAGCGTTCGCTCGCTCCGGTTCATCGCACAAGAAATGGTTACTCAAGGACCTCTGGAGCTTATTTGAGAGTCGCCTCCACGTTCACGGCAGGCCGTCATCTTTTTCTTCCTATAATTCTATGTTGCAAGTGGCACGGGTACAGCGACTTGCGAACAGATACCGGTCTCAGAGTTGAGACTTCACAAGTTCAGATCTGTTTGGTTCCGCTTCACGAGGACGGTTTAGACTAATAGCTAGTGGCACCAAAGCTTTGGAGGTCAGGATGGCCATAACTTTCAACCAAAGTACAGGTGGCATTGCAGAGTTTATAAGGTACTACAGCCTACAGGGCCTTAAGCCTAACTAACTTGTTTCAGCAGTCTTACACGAATCTCGGTGCCTTACAATTTGTTTGCAATAATGCATAGATTAAAAAAAATAGCACACAAGGAATGCTTAGAGAGAAACAACAAGACCAACAAACCAATATAATAGCGTGATTATGTCGAGCAACGGGCTGCTATCCACTTATCTTATCCAGTGCAAGAACTAAGCAAGTTTGGAAGGTCAACTGACTGACTGCCTTACTATACACTTAATAAGGCATCGAAGAACAAAATGGGAGATAAAGGTTTTTGATTCAGATTTTGTTGGGAATTTAACTTTGTCAGAAAATATAGCCCCAAACTTTGGAGCTGAAACCTTAAAATTCCGTAACAATATCTGTTTGCAGGGAAAAAGGGAGCGAAGGCAACATTTTAACTTCGTATGAAAAGATTCGGCTTCGCTTAGAAGATGGAGAAATCAAGTCATAGAAGAAGTTGATACCAAGAGTGAAGACAGAAGTTTGGCTTCGCTAATAAGAATTCGACTTCGCTGATTAACGAAGACAAAGAAAGGCGGAGCAGAAATCAACTAAGTCAGAAGACAAGGTTTCCAGAAGAATGATGGCTAAATAAAAGAACGAAGACTGAAGTAGTGCAAAATGGTCACTTCGCCCTTCAAGTACAAAAGGGATGTAAATATTTGAGTTATGGATAAAATAGTCATTTTATGTAAAATATGAAGGCTGGGGCCCTATAAATACCCCCTCTGATATGTATAGTATGATTATGAAATGAATATAACTTTGTCTTGTGTTCAAACTTTTGATGCTTGAGTAATCTTTTACCCAACATCTGGCGCCCACCGTTTGTGTGTGCTCGAAAACTCTCACGACCACCGAAGCTAATGGGCAGACCTAACAAAAAAGTTACCACTGGGGTAACAAAAGATGACCCACCAACAATCGAAGACCAAAGTCTCAAAAAAGATACACCTCAGGACCCAAACTCTTCAAAGGCAAGCGAAGCCGAACAACAAAGACTCAAAGAATTAGAAGAACAAGTGCTGAGAAAGCAAAAAAAACTTGAAGAATGTCGCGCAAGTGCAAGAGAAAAGTCTCTCAAACAAAGAATAGAAGAAGCCGAAGCCACTCTTCGAGAACTAAATGAACAACTTCAAAGGATGAACCAAATTCAGCAACAAAGGCTTCTCAAAAGAAGAATTCACAAAAGTCATTCATATCAATTGACACAAGCTCTCCCTTGTCAATAAACTTGAAGCTAGCACAATGGCCCATGGGGTACAGATTCAACATGATACCAACTTTCGATGGCCAATTTGACCCAAGGCAATTTTGATGAGTTTCGAAGCCGTAGTAATTTCTAGGGGTGGCGATGAAACTACACTAACAAAATCTTTTGTCATGGCGGTTAAAGGACCAGCACAACAATGGTACTCTTCGCTAAAAACAAAATCCATACATTCATGGGATCAACATAAAGCAAATTTACTTGTAGACTTCCAAGGATTCCAACCAGCTGGCCTCATAGATATAGATCTATTCAATTGCAAACAACAAATCAAAGAACCCCTGAGCCAGTACTTCAAAAGATTCATTCAAATCAAGACACAAATTCCAAATATCCCAGACGAAGTGATAATAATAGCCGCAATTAAAGGGCTTCGAGTAGGCCAATATGCTTCTCATCTTGCTCAAGAAAAACCAAGTACAGTTGCTGAACTTTACAAAGTCATTCAAAAATATTGCAAGTCAGATGATGATTACAGAAAAAAGAATTGAAGAAGAAAACAACTTCAGGGCTCAAATCAAGCAAAGCAACAACAACTTCCATCCTCCAAGACCAAACAACTATGAGCGAAGACCATTTACACCGCACAATCAAGTCAATCAAATTGGGAATGACAACAATTCAACAATGGAAAGTGATTATGCTCACCAAAACTAATATAACCAGCACAGTCAATTCAATGAAAGAAGATTTGAAAGAGGAGGATTCGGCACAAGAGAAAGAGGAGGAAAGGGAAGAGGAAAAGCACCTTTAAAACCTGTAGATATGTACTGCATTATTCATGACAAAGGGGCTGGACATACATTTAAAATATGTCCCAAAGTTAAGAAAAGCCTCGAAGAAGCCCAAGAAGAAAATAGGGCACCAAGCCAATAAAAAATTGTCAATCATGTGAGGCAAGAACAGCAAAGTCCTCATCAAACTTATTATCCAATGCATTATGGACATACCCAAGCCCTGCTTCCAGGGCCACCTCCTGCATACAGCTATGAACCACTAGCAATGTATCATCCCATGCAAAATCAATGGAAGCAAAATCAATTTCAGCAATCCAATGTTCAATTAGCACAACCCGAAGCTTCAGTTGCAAACAACAACCCACAAAGCAACTAGGCTAAGCAAGAGAACAACTCCCCATCAGTGTCAATGGTAAACAATAATGCAATCATCCCAAGTAAAGAAAGAATATTGACAATCACGGGTGGAAATAGCATGGACTATGAAAATAATAGTCAAAGAAGAAACTACTTTTGAAGAGTAAATTTAATTTCAATGGAAGGCCCATATAAGAAAACAAGATGGTCCCATCTACCAATCATATTTTTAGAAGAAGACCTTCAGCTGAAAGATTACCCACATATGGATGCTATGGTAATCGAAGCAAACATTGATGGATGGACAGTCTCAAAAATATTGGTTGATGGAGGCAGCTCCGCTGACATTATATTCACATCAACAATTGACGCCATGAAAATCGATCATAAAATACTAGGAAGAGCTGAGCATCCACTTTATGGCTTCGATAGAAAAAAGATCCACTCAATTGGAAGAATAATTTTGCTAGTTTCTTTTGGAACAGTAAGCAACGCAAGAATAGAACAAATTGCATTTGATGTGGTGGACATGTACTATCCATACAATGCACTCTTCGAAAGAGGAACTTTAAATGCATTCGAAGCAGACATAAGCTACTCATATTTATGTATGAAAATGCCAGCAATAAATGGAGTAATTATAGTATATGGAGATCAAACTGAGGCAATAAATATTAAAAAAGAATACACTCCAGGACAGAAGAATGTTCACGCAATCGGTGAAGAAGAAGAAAAAGAAGAAACAGAAAATGTGAAGCCTCAAACAAAAGCTCAAGCTTATGAAGAGACAGAAAAAGTACCTCTCGATCCATTTGTCCTAGATAAACAAGGCATCATTGGTACTGGAGTTCCTCAAGAAGAAGAGAACAAACTTGTAGAATTCCTTCGAAGCAACAAAGATATATTTGCTTGGTCATCCAATGACTTAGGAGGAGTCAGCAGATACATAATTGAGCACAAATTAGACATAGATCCAAAAGTCAGACCAAAAAAGCAAAAGTTGAGAAAACTAGCCGAAGACAGAGTTTAGGCTATGGTGAATGTGCATCGATTTCATAGATCTCAATAAAGCGTGCCCAAAAGATAATTTCTCACTTCTAAGAATTGACACATTAGTCGATCAAGCAGCCGAAAGTGAAATGCTAAGTTTCTTGAATTGTTTTTCTGGTTACCATCAAATTTGGATGAGAAAAGAAGATGAAGAATTCACAAGTTTTATCACCCCATTCGGAACCTACTGTTTTGTAAGAATGGTAGAAGGGCTTCGCAATGCTGGCACAATATTTGTTAGAATGACTTCAACAATGCTACACAAACAAATTGGCAAAAATCTACTCACTTATGTTGATGACATAGTAGTCAAGAGCAAGAAAAGAGATCACATCGAAGACCTCCAAGAAATATTTACAAATCTCAGGAAAGCAAATTTAAAGTTGAATCCTGAAAAGTGCACCTTCGAAGTCCAAAAGGGCAAAATTCTAGATTGCATTGTATCAGCAAAAGGAATCGATCCAAATCCAGACAAAGTCTAGGCAATCTTAAACATGAAAGTTCCTAAAAATATAAAGGACGTCCAAAAATTGATAGAAAGACTTGTCGCCTTAAACAGGTTCATTTCAAAATCAGCAGAGCGAAGTCTGCCGATATTTCAAGCACTCAAGGGAACAAAAAAGACTTCGCATGGGGGCCTTCGCAACAACATACATTCGAAAAAATAAAAAGCTACTTATCAAAGTGAAATACTCTAACCACACCAACCCCAGGGGTTGAATTGCTCCCATATGTCTCATCAACAGAAAGTGTAGTAAGTGCAGTCTTAGTTGAAGAGCAGGAAAATAAACACACAAAAAAGACAAGTCCATGTATACTTCGTTTTAGATGCTTTGTCTAGCTCAAAAATATATTACTTAGAGATCAAGAAAATAGCTTATGTAGTTTTAACGGCAGCAAGAAAATTGAAGCACTATTTCCAAGCTCACAAAATCAGAGTACCAACAAATTATCCTCTAAAAGAAGTCTTGCAAAGCTGCAGATCATCCGAAAGATTGGGGAAATGGGCAGCGGAGCTATCTCAGCATTACATCGAATTTGAAAAAAACATCAATAAAATCCCAAGTC